CATTAAATGTTCCATGACAACCGCCGTATGAACATATCTGCAGTAGATTCCACCTGGCAGTATCGTCCCTGAACAGGCTCAATCAAACCGAGGCTGCATTTCATTTTTGCCGTTTTGAACTTTCGTAAAGACTCCTTACGTTTGCTCTAATTGCCTCTGTGTTAAATAGTTGTAAAAGATTTTTTTAAGCTAATCTATTGCATATTCACTTAAAAATGTTTTATTGAGTGTAGATTAACCTCAAATACTGGAAAAACTCATAATAACGTAAACAATATAACGTTATTCGTAAAAGTTCACATGATTATTTTACAATTACAATGTGACATCATGATTTGATGACGCCCTTAATGAGGGCGCATGTCGCTTCAAGGCAAAAATTAGTGAAATGCCTTTTAACCCATAAGAAGCATGAAGTAAATAGAAAATTGTTTGCTTTGTGTGTAGGATCAAATTATATTTCAGCTCTAATACTTTCACTCGTGCTACATAACTGCAAAAATCTGTGAAATATATTTCGACAAAAAAATGTCCTCTATATACGTGGGTTGTCCCAATATTATGTGACAAGATTGTTTAAAAGCTAGATAAAACAGGTACGAATTTGATATTTTAATATGTTATAAACCCATATAATTTAAACATTTTCACAAATTTTCAAAGAAAAATATCAACAAACAACAAAAATATGCCATAAACATCATGGCAACTAACTGAATCGCGGCGCACGTCCAACGTCAAAAACGGCGTTAAATCTATATAATGCGCCTCTCTCAAATACTCTTAATGGCTTTCAACGCTATAATGGTACCCATAAATCATCAATCAATCATCTGACTTAAATCATGTGGTTGTTAATGTCTGTTGAATGTTTGGATGGCATCCATTAATTTTTTCTATACGCAAATTACCGGTCTCGTTACACCTGTTTTTAGCTGTAGGAATTTCAAATAGGCGACGAAGATCGGTCTTCCTATCTGTTTTTTTTCCTTATTTTCGCTTTTTGTAGCGCAAAACTCTGGTTCCATTCATGCCTTTTCACGTAACAGCACACAAGTGCTCAGGATATGTTGCTAAACTGTTCTATTTGGTATATTTGTTGAAAATCGTAACATGTGTCATCTCGAAATAGTCATGAAACCTTAGTGACATGTTCACTGCGCCGCAAATTCTTCGAACGTCGCCATTTTAACTTTCCTATTTTCTATGAGAAATGTTCATTTATCCGTTACTTGTTCGTTTCTTAGGTTATTAAGCTAAAATTTTCTGAGTTGATGTAAACATAGCAGCAGAGGAAGTCAACGTGACATTGTGCAGACACTTCATCAGATATTTGAAATATTCGTAATTAATTTCAGCCTATTCATAACAAAATGTAAATTATTTGACGTGCGCCGGCAACTCAAACATACACGCAATTCCAATCTCTAATATTATGTTTTATATGTTGAGAAGACAACAACAGTTATTGCTACAATTAGCACTATAAATATATAAATACACATTGTAATGTACATCATAAAAAATCATCTATATAAAGCTGAGGATCTTACACGTGTTTCTTTTCAATTTACTTAGTTTAAAAAAACACAACACAAATGTACGGTTTATAGAGGATTTAAAATGAGTGTACAGTTAATACTAAATTTATTGAACGTGTAAAATTAAATCTTATTATGCGAGCCTCTGGCGAGCATAATATTGCTTTACTCTACGAGTTCAATAAATTTAGTATTGAATTAGTATTGAATCTCAAAGAATTTTATAATTATTCTTGACGATGCTAACTTGATTCCACAAAAAGGAAAAGTAAGAATAAAGATAAATGATTCTCCATTTTCCCTTAAGATGTATTCGATGTAGGATAACGTAAGGAATCATGGGGTACTTATAGGGAAAATATACAACAAGATAGTAGAACTTTCAATAATTTCGAAATATATTTAAGACAATATTAAGGTGATGCTTTGTGGAAAGGAAGAATTACTGATTTGCCTTGTAGCACAATAACGTCACACATTCATTATTCATTCAATTAAAATATTATCAATAGTGATAAATTATATAAATTACCGAGGATGAGGATATTATCTACTTCAATTAAAGGGCGGCAAAAAGAGTCAACAGATGGCTGGGGAGAAAAGTAATTTCCCTCTATTTTGGCAAACAAAACACTTTATCTCCTTCTCGTATAATGAATGAATCATGCGCGCAAATGACAAATGTCATAGTGAAATTCTTATTTACTTTAACCCTTTCCTTCATAAGTATATTGTGAAAAATGGCCTTTTTCATTTAAAAATCTCCTGTTACAAGTTAAAACTGCTATAAAACTATAGAAATACTTCAATACTCATGAAACTTGGTACAAATGTTGACCATAGCCTCTGTAACAATATGCATAATTGTAAATTGCCTCTTACCATGGCAACGGGGAGACGTCTCAAAATTGCAAAAAATCAATATTTTGCATTGTTTTTCCCCATCAAAACTGATTTCAAAGTGCTGCAACTTCTCAATGGATAAGGCTTTTCAGCGTTGGTGACTAGTGACCCTAAGATTGATCTGGGGCCATTTTAGCCTGTCACATGTCCACAATTTTCTTGGCGATGAGAGGGACTGCCGCCCCCTTCAAACCTCCCAAACAGAAGGGGCACATCCCCCTTCTGACAAGCCGAAAAAATGATCACTTTTTTTCAACATTTCTCAAACAAGAGACAGGGTTTGGGGCCTAAAAAGGGCATTTCTTCACTGTTTGAGGCCTCAAAAATGGGGGTAGGGCAAAATCCGTCAAAACACGTATATATGAGGTCAAGGGTTAATTAAAAGTATGTTTTTCCAAAGGTTGCAAAAATGACTTCGATGACACTATTTTTCCCCAAAAATATGTAAGTTTAAAAGGAATTAGCTTATTAATAACATTATATGTAACACACAATTTTTTAACACTCCTTTTTGCCAATATATTCATAAATGAATCATGGTCGGTCATTGTGTTATTCATGTAGTTTTTAAACAAATGATAGATGTCCCTTATTTTTAATATTCACACTGATCGCTTTTTTTCGGAATAAGGTTTAATTGTAGAATATTAACATAAAGACATAAAATCGTTTTTTGTTATAATTTGATTTGACTTGGCATGCATGAATGAAGATTGATAAATATTTTCATAAAATATTATTACAAATGAAGGCAAGATAATCAATTGATACAGATCCGCAAATGATGTCGGGATTAAGAAGCAAAGTAAACGGTTCAACGACGCTGGGACTGTAGCGTTAGGAAGAGTTTATTTGACTTTGTAATGGTCCAATAAAAATATGGGATTTGAATATTTAAATAAAAAACAAGTCGTCCAATAGTCTAGTTTTGTGGATTATTAGGTACCATTTGTTTATTTTCAATTGTATTTTTACGAAAATTGTTACACAATTTTAGTTGTATCTTGGCTGTCGATATTCCTAACACGATTTGCTGGATAATGAACGAGTAGTAACTAATATCTCTGCAAGAGATTATTTACTAATACCATAATATGCCGTATGTATGTTGATAATTTAATTTTGTTGTTATGGTTTTAATATGTTATTGTTTATCGTCTTTCATTTAAGAATTATACATGAAATATGGGATAAATAGGTGGTCACTTGTGGAATATTACTGGTAAGTTATCCAAGAATGACGATAAGGTTGTTAGACACCGGAGAGATATGACCAGAAACGTGTTTTTAAAATCGTTGAAAAAACAACAACAACAATAACAGGCATCAAAAAACGTACAGACAATTAATTATATGTGTTAACCGAGTGAATTACAACTGTATAAATATCCGGGTTACGGGTAGCGGCTCTCAATCGGTTAGACAAACGGCCAAAAGATAAAATTTACTTTCAAGCGGCATTAAAATATTGAAAACAAAATCCCTAAAGAAAGTCCAACACGGCAAAATTGTAAAATGTTGCAGGCTCGGTTTGATTGAGCCTGTTCATGGACGGTAATGGAAATTGCAAGTAACCGTCCACGCCCCAAGCACCGGCTTAACCATGTTAACCAGAATTCAACATTTAAACACTAAAATGGTGAAATTTTGAATTTGGAAACATCCGCAGATGTTTTCATATGGCGGTTATCATTAACCCAATAACCTAATACTTAGCTGTTACCACAAATATAAGACCAGATCAGCTTACATATCCGTGCAATCTGACCAATTTTATGCTACGATAGGTCATTTTTGTATTGATATTGAAATCCCTTAATATTAAAAAAAATACAAAACGTTACAAATTCAAAGCAGGAAAAATTAAGTGTTCAAATTCAGTACTTTAAGGGTTCATTTGTATAAAAATGCTTACAAAATGTTATATCCTTTTTGACTAGAATTTATTATAAAATGGATCATAGACAGAAGCAAATGGTTTTTTGTAAGTTACTTTTATTCCTCACTGTTTTATGATGAATGATACGATAGATATTTTGTGACAGTTTACACTCCTGATTAATATATAAATCTTACATTAAAGCACACACCTATAACACATGATAATATGGAAAACAACTAAATTATACTAATGGGGAAAACATTCTTATACAATATTAACCAATTGAAGTTTAAGAATTAAGATAACTTCAGATGTCATTATTAAAATCAAAGATTTTACAATTCCTATAACTTTCTTACTCAACAAGTAACTATGCACTCAAACAGTTTTGTGATAGTAACAATATAATGTGCATTTAAATGCAAAAGTTTATTGTAAAGAACTAAAAATGAAGGCAATCCTTAACAAAGTTGAGGTACAGTATATATAATATGTAATCGCTACCTATATAATATAAGACTTGGTTCACAAATGATATTTAAGCAGTGTTCTTACACTGATATTTAAAGCAAATTGATAATAATGCTACACTTACTCTGTATCAAACATTGTCTCAACAACAAAAAGTATTAAGGTCTCTTGCAAGTCCCATTCTGATTTGATTTGTTGATATTTTATCCAAGAAAATCGACTGATTTTAACATCACCTCACCAGAGTCCTTGTCAACGACTTTAACAACAATTTCTGTCCCTCCAAAAATGAAACTTGTTCCAAATTCATGATCCCTTCCAGAACTTGTGTCGGAAATAGGCACTGTTAATTTTCCAATGAGACTGCACCCATCTTCTGTTGTAAGCTGTGGATTTGTTGACGTGGATGCATATATCTTGAAGGTAATTTTTGTTTGGTCATCTGTCACAGGTTTACTTATAATTTCTGGTTGTTCTTCATCCAACTTAACGGACTGCCCAGCTTTAGCATGGATGTCAAAGATGTCGTGGCATCGTAAGTCGCCATTATCATCTTTTTCAACTCTTGTTTCCGGATGTTTGCAACTTTTGCGTTTTTTATGAGTAATATTTTTCCCGTACGTAAACTTGCATATTCTTTCAGTTATTGTTGTAGGCTGATGACCGAAAATGACAGCTCCTTTTAAGACTACTAATCCTGCTTCGTCTGGAATTACTACTTTCAAATCTTGGAATGTGGACCTAACATTCTCCTGCAACATCGGGGATTCAGAAAATCCCCCAACCATTAGAATGGCAGCACAGCCCTGAACTGCAGGTTTGGACAATAGATCTTCTACGTGACTTTAATGAATGTTGAGAACGGTTGGTTTTAAAAAGTAATAGTAGACTTCAGTGCTAATTCGATATCTTATCGCCAGTAACTGTGCGCATTTGCTGTTTGAATTTTGACCTGAAGAAATAAGTCCTTCAGGCTAATTTCCTCTCATTTCTTCACAAAGTTGAGACAGGGAAGGTATCATGCGGATTGTCACTTTTCCATCTGGTTTTGTCGGAGAAATGTGCCGTTTATCGCCGTCAAAGCTGTGACAAAATTCAATATAGTCCTCCATATATTGCCTTTTGAATTTTGAGACAACCTCAGGACCTAAAACATATTATTTAAGTGCACGTTTTTACTGTGACTTTCAATTTCTATTGAAACACAAAACAAGTGAATGTTAAACTCAATATAACAGAGGTCATTGAAAATGATAAAAAAAATGCATGTGCATCCACAGTTTATAATTTCAATTTGTATTCAAAAGCTCACTTAAATTAATAAGTTCATTTAACTTCAGAGTGCAATTCTATATTACATATTTTCAACACATATACTATCTATCTAAATAGTTAGGTACATAATAAATGTCTTCAGGATCATGAAATATATGTATAAAATATTCAGATCTTACCAACAATATTAGCTAGGAGACCTTCTTCATAAGCTTTGTCTACTTGAGTTCCTCCCCATGCACCACCGCTTGCTTTATGGAGTTCTCTCAACTTTCCACTGTCAGAAACTTCATGCACAGTTATATCAACTGTTCCACCTGTAGAAAAAGAAAACGAATTGACCCATTAAATAGTCTCTACAGTTTAAGAAGAAAACTTTAACTCCATATAATAACAGATTCTATTTTCTAGTTAAAATATTAAATGTAAAAAAACATTTTAAGTTTTTTTTAAAATTTAAATTGCTTTCACCCTTTTTTTTTAAAACCTCCTGAAAACCCTTGGGGAAAAAAGATTATTTCTTTCCCCAAGAGGGGAAAAACCTGGAAATTGATGTAGTTTTCCTTTTGTACACCTTTGAAAAAAAAAAAAAACAGTAAATAGGAAGCGGCTTCGGGTTTTCCCAAAGAACAAAAAAAATTTTAAAGTTCTTTTTCCAAAAATTTCCCGGGCCATAAAACCCCAAAAAATAATTTTAAATTTTAACTATTACGGGCATCAAAAAATTTTTCCAAAAACCCAAGAATTTTTTAAACTTAAATTTAAACAAAAAAATTAAGCAAATGTTAAATTTGGGGCTTAGTCGAAAATGTTCCCTAAAATTTTTCCCAAATTTCCCAAATAGGTTTGGGTTTTCCCTGTAAGGGCCCCCCTTAAATTTTGACCCAAATGGTGACAGTTTAAACTTTCCAGGTGGGGGTTTCATACGTTTTTTTAAAATAAAGGGGCCAAATTTTTTTTAAAACATTTCGGGCCCCTTTTAAAACCTTTTTGAAGACGGACGGGGTTTATCCCGCAAATTAAAATTTTTTTAAATTATCAAAAACAAAAATTTAGTTTAAAATTTGGGAGGGGGGTGAATTTGTTTTTCTTTCTGGGGGAAAAAAGGGTTTTCTCTAGTTTTTTCCCAATTTTCTCAATACCCGGCTGCATTTTTTTTTAAAAATATAATGCTTAATAATGTGTTTAATTTTTTAATAAGCCATATTATTAAGCATTGAAACTTTATTATAAAGAACTTGAAACAATTTGTTGGTAAAAACTAGTAATTTGAACATTGTACTGCGTTATTTTTCTAATATGGAATATACCTCCTGTGCTGCCTCCCTCATAAAACTGTTTAAAGCGGCATCGTTCCATATTGCAGGAACAGTAAAGAACCCAGCGTACGTCGTAGACATCCATATCACCGTCAATGTGTTGCTTAGTGTAAACAAAACAAATCATTCTTTAAGTACTCAATAGCTAGCGAGAAAACCTTCATTGCCGGTAGCTTCTTACCACTGGCATCCTCAAGTGTTGTCACCCCTTGTTATGGCCTAATTTACAATAATAAATAATGGGTCTTCAATTTGCAAAATGTTGCCAAATTGTAAATTTTTCTTAGAAAAATCTAGTTAAAAGTCATTTGGCAAAATGTAGGCTTTTATGCACCTAAGATTATTGTTGATAAAGTTTATTATATACTTTTATAAATGAAATATTTGAAAAATATTGGATGAAAAAAATGCGTTATTTTCAATTTGCCGTATTTTCACTGCAGTGTGGAAAAACATTATTTTCCGTATTTTTTCAACTGGGGGTTATTCTGTGCCGGGGAACTAGCTTTTCTTTTTAAAAAATTTCAACCAGTGACACAAAAAACAATTAAGTGAAAGTTTTTCAAATTTTACGCAAAAAAAAGAGAAAAAATTTGACATAATAAACAGAAAAATTGCAAAGTTTTTCTTAATAAAATACATGATTTATTTTTCAATCAAGTTTGGTCATGAAAATAAATATTTCATGAGTGGCGGTAGCCACGAGTGAAATATGGCAATTTTCATGCCACAAAATCCTCTATATATTTACCAGTGTAATAACAAGGGATTTCAATTAAGAAAGATGTTTTATGACATGCATACACAACTTGCCATCAGCAAAAAGATATTGTACAGTTATATTTGTTTCGTTTATTTGCCTGTTTTATACGTATAGTTAACGTTATTTTGGTCTTATCTTGGCAGGTGGAACATTTAATTGGATTTGCTGGATAACTCTCCAGTAATTACCATTTTCTACGAAAGTGACGTCTACTTATTCCAAATGATTTTTGAATCAGCGATGAGAGCTGTCAAGGCGTAATTTGGTCTTCATCTAATAGTTCTTAACGGGCGAACATGCTTCAGTGCTTTTTGTGTATAGTATTTGACGTGTTTATTACATACCTTATTGTTAAAAAGGATCATTTTGAATAGTTTGAAGAAAAACCATTGATCCTGTTTATTCTCTCCGCATATTTCGGCATTTTCTTTTAGCTTAAAAACCAAAAAAAAATCTTTTTTTGAGGTCAGAATTGTAAGAATAGGTTAGGGCTGAAAAAATAATTTTTTCTTTTGAGTTTTAAACATTGAATTTTATTTACTATAATCGAAAAAAATTTATTTTTCATCTGAATTGATTTTTTTTTAGTTCACGTATAACCGTTTACACAAATTGCAACATCATCATGATGAGCACTTCATTTTCGGCTCAACAACTGTAGTTTATTAGTTTATTTAAGTCTCATCCATTACATGCACATATAATTCAAATACGCATTCAATTACACTTAAAATACATGTAAATGTTTATTCTTATAAAAATTTAGGGGACTATATGTATGTTGACACAAACATATTACAAAAATCTGAAAATAAAGTTATCCCTCAAAAGAATTAATTACAACAAATATCATAATTATTATACAATTCACTGTAACATTACGTCATCTGTTAAATACGTAACATGCAAAGCAATTCTATCTTTGACTTTACAATTTGAGTATTTCATCCCCGGGTTATTTTTAAATTAAAACGGGAATTTGTTTTTAAAAGGAAAAAAATGAAGGGCTAGGGGCCCTTTTTAAAAGTAAAAAAGTAATATCTTGAGTTTTTTTAAACCTAATAGGGGTAGGGTTTAAAGCCCGAAGGGGTGGAAAACCAAGAACAAAAAAAATTTGACCTTAAACCTTAAAAGGTTTTAAATTTTTAAAAGGGGGCCGTTTTAAAAACAAAAAATAGTTCTTTTAAAAACTTTTGTTTAAAAAATGAGCAATTTTTATTGTCAAAAATTCAAATGATTATTCAAATATCGTTTTTTGAGTTTGACCCCCAAAAATAAAAACGATTATAAGCCAAAAGGGGGCCCAAATTAAAAGTTTTTTAAAAAGAAAATTTTTTAAAACCAGCGCTTTTAAAGGGTTATAAGATTAAAATTGAAAAAAAAAACTTTTTTTTTTGTTTTTGTTTTATTTGGGGTTTTTAAAAATTTAAACAAAAAAATTTAAAGTTTTAAAATTCCATTTTTATAAAAAATTAAAAAAATAAATTTTTTTCTTTAAATAACAATTTAATATTTGGGAAATTTTTACAAAATAATAATTTCTTTAATAAGGGAATTTAAAATATTTCGATTATTAAGATATTATATTTCGTTAAAACGAAATTATATTTTCTAATTGGGAATTAATTATCTCGTTAAAAACGAATTCAAATCCCGGGAGAAAGTGTGGGAAAATGTCACTTCAGGTGTTCCGTAATTTTCCAAAAAATTATTTGTAGCAAATCATTTTTTTTAAGTTGTTGTTCATTTTGTTTTTCAATATATTTTGCCACTTTATTATGGTATTTTATGGTTTAAAAATTAATATTGAAAAGATTATTTTGAAATGTCAAAAAATATCATTCCCAATGCCATAAACCCACAACACAAACCGAGACAAAAATGTGTTTTAAAATAATATAACTGCCCACCCCTCCCCCCAAAAGAAAAAAAAAAAAAAAAAAAAAACCAAAAACAGTACGTAAGGTAACAGTAGGAATCGAACCATTAAAACCTCTCACACACCAGGTCAATCACTTAACCGACCTGTGCTTAATGCGGGGTAAGCGCGAATAACGTTTACATTTTAGCAAAATATGACTTTCAATAACATTAGTTTATATAGTTTTTTATTTTAATGCTTTTCAGTGGATTACTTTTTATCCGTGAAAATTATATTTTGATTTAATTTTGAATTAAAATATAATTTCACCACTTTCCAATAACGAAAACTACTTTCTTAAAATTTTTCCCCATGTGGTACCTACATTTTTATTTTTGCTGACAATTCTAACAATGTCAGGGCTGTTTGAGAAAAGCAAAGCTGAAATTGATAAATAACTTAAATGTTAAAAAAGTAATAAAAAGAAGAAAACTTGATAGACATTACAATTCCGGGTACCCCTCCAATAAATTACCGGGATATCTTAAAGTAACCAGCAATGTTATCTATAAAAATTTAAACAAAATCGGGGGTAATTTTTTCCTTTTAAACCCACAAAATAAAATCACGGGGGTTGGGTTTAACATGAAAGAGGTAAAAAAATTTATAATTTAAAAACCCCCTTTGGGTTAAACCTTTGAAAAATTTTTTAATGTAAAAAAAGGAAACTTTCAAAAATGGTTTTATTCGGGAAGGGGGCCCGCAAATGGTAAAAGGGGTTTTCCATTTGTCGGGCCTAAAATAAAGGGTCTTTGAGTTCGATCCCCCGCTACTCCAATGAACAAAAATAAATGACTACAAAGACTGACAAAAACCAAAGGACATCGAATAGCTGAATGGGGCAAAACAAATAGATACCCAAAAGAAGAACCCTTAACCCGGAACAGGAAACAAGACCGAAAGTAACAAAGGGGACCGAAGACGGACGAAACCGATAACAGAAGGAAGAACGGAGACAAAGAACTGACAAACAAGGGACCGATAAACAGAAGTACAGAGGACAGGGACCGATAACCAAAGAAGTACCAGAAGACAGGGGAAAACCGGGATAACAGAATTAACTAACAAACAAGCGAACGCGAGACAGGGACCGATTAACAGAAGAACTTGTCAACAAAAAAACCCAACGGAGGACAAGGAAATTAATAAACAGAAAAATAGAAAACTAGGGACCGGATACAAGAAGCACCAAAAGGACTGATTACAGAAAAATTAAACACCGAAGAAAAACCAGGGACAGAAGAAGCTGGCCAAAAAACGAACGAAAAACCCCCGTCAAAGATAACAGAAAAAACAGTGAGCAAGGACCGAAATAACAGAAGAACTTTTAAACCAACAAGGAACAAAGAAGATGAGGACCAATAAACAGAGAAACGGAAGACGACGAGGGCAGCAGAGAAAGGAACATTCTGAAAAAAACCAAAGAACTGAGAACAAGACCGATTACAGAAGAAACGAAAGATCAAAACCCAATAACAAAGAACAAAAGAAATGCAACGAAGAACTAAACAGTAGAAAAAAAGTCACTACCCAATAACAAATTGACAAACAAGAAAGGAAATGCGAACGAGAACCGATAAACAAAGAACGGACGGAACCGATAATAAGACAACCCCGAACACCAAAACCCAAGAAGGTGGCCTTTGTAAATTTTTTACATCCCCACGTTTTAAACCCCCTCACATACGCACGCTGTTAAATATAAGTAGGAATCTGAGTAGCCACTCTATATGCTTGCAATCTAGCAAAAAGTGCAGGGAAGAGTGTAGTGAATTCGCTGCGTAAACCCTAAATATAGTGATGGTTCAAAGGAGTAGGGACTTTCTAGAAATTTTATCTCTTACATGTTTAAATGCCTTAAAATTTCCAGTACTATCTTTAATATTACTTCTATATTACTATTATATTGGCCTTTAGAAAAATGCCAGCCATCTTGAATTTTTCAGCCATATTGGATTGCTGTTGTTTTTTTTATTCTGTTTTGGTGTCGAATTTGTTTTTACCTAAACATGTTTTGTGACAAATTTCAGGCTTTTCCTTTCCTTAAAAATTTTATTTGATATATCATCCATTTATGATAAAGAAATTTGGCGGCCATTTTAGTGGTCATTTTAAATGGCCATTTCAATGGTCAAGATCAAGTTTTTCAATTTGGTATCCACCTTTATCGGATTCAGCAAACCTTAAATAGGTAAAATACACCAAGATACCACTTGTACTACAAAATGCCTCTAGCATCTTAAAGGGAGCCAAATTCTCAAAATCAGTCCTGTCTATTATTTATGTACGATACGGCAATTAATGCTAGTTTCTTGCTCTAACTACATTTTTAAAGCAATTCAACTCCAATAAAAAA